GAAATGAGATAAATTGCGAATCTCTTGACAATTAGAGTTATTAGAAATATGTTATATATCGTTGGTAGTTTCTCTCGGTGTATATCAATAGTCTGGGATCTTGTCGGGCTTGTATCTCTTTTCGGTGGTGTCGTATGCTCTCTGTCTTTCTGTATGGTCTAATTGGACTTAATCTAATCAGCTTAAGCTTACAACGCACATTGTGTGAAGGACTATGCTCGCAATCGCGAAAGAAAGTAAACGATCTACCGCGCTACGACCGCGAGTTCGAAAAAGTTCTTTGGAATTGGAAGTTAAAATTTTCAGTCGATCCTGATCGAGAGAATAAAACTCGCGACTGCCTTCCGCGTTCATTTTCTTCCGCGTTCGCGTTATAAAGACAAGAGGTGAAAAAGAGATGTTTTCGAGTAGAGTTCTCTCGTAAGAGATAGAATATCGATCGTGTGTGACGAGACCGCGTAAAAAGCAAAGGTGACTAAATACACTTGAATCGGTATCGCGTCTCACGGCGAGTACGCGATATCTAAGTTTTGCATACGGCACGATAGTGTGTTGTAGTTAATATAGAGGTGATCTTGTGTGTTTATGTTTATTTGTAGAACGAGCAGGAGATACCGCAGGGGGCGGGGGTGGTAGCGCCGGTCCTGCAACCGCGGACCTCGTCTCGGACGATGACTACGGTCAGTCCACGGATACAGAATTATTGTTTCGCTGTAGAATTTGTTGGAAAGGTTTCAAGCATCCGATGTCGTTGACACTGCACAAGGACTTGCATACCGGGCAAACCAGGTGCCCGATTTGTCAGCGCATCTTCAGTCGAAGTTACGACATGAAGGCACATTTGCTGCGCATCCACAAGTGCACGTTCAGTGTCGACGCGAAGTTGAACTTTCGAAAGTGAACTTTTCCATAGTATGTCGCCTCGCGGAGGAAACGTTCATTTCTTTATTCTCACCGTAGGAAAGCGGCATCGATATTGAACGACTGTTATTTGTCGCGATATTTGTTGATCGGTGAATCGGTGTTGTAGTAGCGCGTCTATGGAAGAAACAGATTATTTTCAACCCGTTAAGGATTCACGGAATTTGTTGAAAAGATATATCCTTTTTTATTTTATTTTATTGTTTTCTTTTATGTTATGTGAATATTTATACATTTCTATGGAATGCTACTTTTCGAAAAAGAACATCCATTTTTTTATACATGTGAGAAGAAATTGTATGCCAGCCGTGTAATATTACGTTCGCACGATGCAACGAACGTAATATTACGAAAATGGACCTTAAGGGGTTAACGTGATTGTTTCTAATGTGATCCATTATCTTTGTGTAGATGTACATAATGTATTCTCTTTTTGATTCAACAGTATCATATCGAGTTGAAATTTCGGAATCTTTTTTTTTTTTGTTCCGCACTTTCATGCGTGTCTCTCCTATTTATTGTTCATACTATGCATTGAATTTTTATATATTTAAATCGATGAACAGACAGGAGAGACTTTGATAAGAATCGATCGATTTTATTATCAATCTTTTTTTTTTTTTTTTTTTTGTATTCTGTGTTAGACTAATATCAGGAGACTCGAACAAAAGTGCCATCAACGACAGATGGCGCGCGAAAACTTAAAGTTCCTCAATGAGAAAACGTATTTAGACTGTAAGCGATTCAAAGAATTGATCGATATCTCTTACTCGTTTCGATCGATCTTTTAGTTTCTTTTATCGCGCCTTTTGTTTCGCAAACGGCTTTATTCACTTCCTCGAGATATATATACGAGAGAAATTGCGACTGTTGTTGGTGCGATGCACTATATTCGTTTAGTTTTATGCCTACACGTTTTATTTATAGTCGAAAGTTTTCACGTTATTACAGGATGTTTGTATACGATTTACTAAAACAATCTCGAAAGATTCACTTATTTGACTTTTACTGTGTTAGGAAGTTTTAATAAAACTTTCCAAAAACTACATCATCCATTTTGTTTCACTCGTAAAAGATGATTACGAATAGAACAACGTTCAGATCGATTGTTCAACGATATTGCCGCAGCTATCGATACCGAATCTTGCATTAAATATTAACATTTGCAAGCTTATTGTTGTTCCGGTACTCGAGAAAATCCTCCCTTTTCTCTTTAGCTGAAGACGCTTCGTTAAACATGCTTGTGGGAATTTTACAATTCGCAATGGCTATACGGAAGATACATACTCTCATGACGAAAATCACAACACGCGAAGCTGATAGCTACTTACGAAAAGCAAAACCGATTGTTCGCGATCGTGTTGTGTCGCTGACACTCTTTTCTCCCCTGCCTTGCAATCATCCATCTCGACGTGTCCCTTCCACGATCTTATCCCCCTTGCTCCCGTTTCTTTTCTACTCTGACGGGAGAGAAAAGTCGCGGTCATTACTTTCAAGATATTCGACACAGATACTCGACAAAATTTTAACCAAGACACATTTCATTTTATCGAGAAAACTTGACGTAAGAGAAATTAAATAATGTTAAAAAAAAAAAAAAAGAATAATGCAAAGCAAGAATCGAGCAATGAACGAAACTACGGAAAATGATTAAAAAAAAAAAAAAAAAGTCGCATTTTCAAGATTCGAAACATGCGAAACTTTGAACAGTGAAACTTTATCACATAAGTACGCGAAGCTCTCTGTGTGTATGGGAACAATTTGGATTGTGTGCGCAGAACCTAAGCACGATACAACAACGCCCATTGGGAATCATCATGAGCATCGACACGAGCTTCAGCAGCGGCAGTTGCAACAACAGGAACAACAGCTACAACAACAGCAACAGCAACAGCAACAACAGACGAGCCTCAACTACGAGCGGATCAGACGTAGATCCAAGCCTCTTCATGATCAAAGTGGTCGTTGGGTCTGCGACGTCTGCGGTCGTACTTATAATCGTGGTGATTCCTTGGCGCATCATCGTAGTATACATAGGGGCGACACAATCTGTCCGATCTGTCAGGCTGTTTTCACACGGAAGTACACGATGCGTTGTCACATGTTCAATGTTCATGGTGTCAAGTAACAGGAGATTGCAGGAAACTAGAAAAAAACTGATAACTCGTTCGACGATGAAGAGAATTCGCTCGGATGAGAAATTGTAAAGAAAATTGTAAGGCTGGTTTTAAATTATTGTAGGCTGTGGATATTGATGATTGCTTTTAAGTTCGTTGCACGCGAGGAAATACCGTGATCGAGTCACTTCTGTTTCCATACGTGAATCATTTGCATTCACTTCCTCCTCGTCCGGCTTTCACGTTCAATCGACTTTCGTATTTTATTCATACACGCATATACCGTTGTCGAACGACGATGCGTAAAATCATGTCATATGCGCGGCATATCCATTATTCTATATAAAAGGTAATATCTTGCATAGTACGGTCTACGGTTGATTTCTGAATTTGTACATAATCGTGTATATAATATTTTGTGATGTATATAGAAATCATGGGAACCTTTTGAGTATAATTTTGTTATTTTATTGCTCGACGGTTTTCCACAAAACGTTACGTTGATTTTTTTATATTTTTTATTTTTGCCCGAGGTACGCCACGATATATTGTAATTGATCGAAACGAAGAAAAGAGAGAGGGAAATAAAAAAAGAAACGACAGAAATTGTTGACTTTCATGCTCCTGAATTCGTCTTCGATATATAAAAAACATTCTCCGGATATGTGGAAACTCTCGTAGTTATAAAATTCGAACGAAAACTGGAAAGTGAAAGTATCGAATCATTGGATCCCAGCTTGTAAATATACAGAGTATGTTTGGCGCAAAGAGTTATCTACTATTCACCGCCGTCGCTTTTTCTTTTGTACGTACATGCGTGGACTAAAAATAAAAGTATCGTACAAGATGTATCGTTTTTTTTTCTGTTTTTTTTTTCGTTTTTTTTTTCTTTCTCTTTTCTCTTTCTTTCCCTTTCTTTCCGTTGACAAGCGCTTGCGTTGGCCGCGTCCAGGAAACTGTAACTGCCTGACGATTCGCTCGATTATTACATTATCTCCAACATTACCACGAATCCATTTTCACAAAATACATATTCATCAAAAGGAATACATGATTGTCGGTTCACTGCACACAGCAAGCGTTTAACGAAAATTCATAGAGAAATCTAATTTCTTGCGTATCATATACGTATATATATATATACATATATATGCATATATACATATACATATATAATTAAGGTAAATGTGTGATCACCGTAATTACAAGATGCTTGTTTTGTGATTTTTCAATTGCATTTCTAACTGCAACCGATCGATACCTTCAGATAGGTACCTCTGATATTCTTCTGCATGAATATTGAACATTTTTTGTACGTACATACGTATTGTTTGGTTGTCGTTCAAACGTTATATCCACAATTCACAGTAGCATGATTGCTCCAAGAGTTTGAAGGTTGCGTGTTCACACCACCTCGTGGTTGCTCTTCCTTGTACAACTCATCGTGTGTGCTGCCTTTTCTTACCGTTCGTCTCCTCGAACCGTTGATATATATATATATGTAGATATCGAAGAAGTTGCGTAGTTGTAAACGAGTGAATTACAAGTAGATAGCAACAAGGAAAGTAATTGTATAATAAAATCAAAAAAAAAAAAAGAGAGAAACAGAAAAACAGAGAAAGAAAGAAAAGAAAGGAAAAAAGAACGAAATCATAAAGGAATAATAATAATAAAAAAAAAAAAAAAAAAAAAAAAAAAATAGAAAAAAGGAAAAAAGGAAGGAAGAAAAGGTATAGAGAACGCAAAAACGCGTACGATCGATGTTTTAGAAACGTTTGTATTCTTTTGTGTAAAGATCGTTCGCATTTTAGCCACGATGTGCAGGAGAAAAAAAAAAAAAAAAAGAAAAGGAAAACAATAAGAGAACACGAGAATTAAAGACCGAATTAGAGATAATAATCGTGGATCGTTCGCACAACATGGCCGTATACGTACTACCATGAACGTTTATATCTGATTTAGATTCACGTACGGTGGTCATCGAACAGCCGTCGCATTCGTGCAAACTCTGCGGTAAAACGTTTTGGAATCGGGACTCGATGTACAAACACATGAACATGCACAAAGGGACGACTCAGTGCCCGGTGTGTCATAAAGTGCTGAGCCGCACCACGCACATGAAGCGCCACTTAAAAAATCGGCACGGTTGGCTGGGCGTTGGGACGACCGCCGCCGCCGCTGCAACAGCAGTCGCGAACGCCGCAGCAGCAGCAGCCGCCGCCGCCGCCGCAGCCGCGGCCGTTGCAACGCCATCGGGAACCGGGACTGCGTCAACCAACACCGTTCCCGGTGTTCCTGTAGTCACTGCTGTCAGCGGCGCTTCCACGATCGCCGATGGTTCTGTCGCCGCGCCTCTGCCGACGCCCATTTCCGTCTCCTCCACCGCGATCGCTCATCAGAACGTCGGTAGTCCCACCGCTGCTCTCGAGCCTAATGCGAGCTACACCACCATACGCATTAGGGAAAGTAGCGTCGAGAGAATCACGTCTAGTCCTATTCCTTAGTGTGAGCACATCCTACAGGATCCACGTACCCGTCGACGGAAAAGAGGATAAACGCGCGCGCTGCTTCTTCCTCTTTCTCTCTCTCTCTCTCTCTCTCTCTCTCTCTCTCTCTCTCTCTCTCTCTCTCTCTCTCTCTCTCTCTCTCTCTCTCTCTCTCTCTCTTTTTCTGTCCCTTTCGTCCGTTTCCTCCTGTTCTTCATCTTTCACACCGAATCTACGAATACATACGTGTTCTTCTTCGTCATCACGGCGTTCGTGCATTCCTCGGCTCGTGTACTCCTAATCCGAGTCGATGACCGCACGCAAGTCTCTCACGAGTATATATCCTTTCGTTTATAGTTTCGTTCTTTTTTTTTTTTTTTTTCTTAACACGCGCGTTTAGATATATTTATATATCGTCTGATCTGTATTGATCGGAACGTAATTCTCTCACTAATGATTTGCAAGAGATCGGAATAGTTCGGTCTGAGACGTTGTTCCGGTTAACGAATAAGTAACGAATCATGGTATCAAAAATTAAAGATGACAAAAAGCTAGTACGTTTCTAGACCAAGTCCGGCGTTGTTTTAATCGTTTCGAGAAATACGGGACGTCACACAAGCGTTTTGCTTTTTTTCTTTTTTTTAATTCGTAATGAAATTCGGTAGAAATGGCATTTGTCAGTAAAATGTCACTCTAGTCGTCGACGGGAAGCCTATGTTGAAGACACCTGTCTTGTTACTTTACATCCTAGTCATTTGTACACACGCGTATGTGTGCGTTTATTTACGTGTATCTGTATATGCATATGAGAAAAAGAGGAGGAGGTGGAGAGGGAGGGAGTAGGAGGCTAAATAGAAGGAAAAAGATGTGGAGGATGAAGGAACAGAGAAGAAGAAGAAGGAAAAGAAGAAGGAGGGGAAGAAAGAGAAGACGTCGCGTGCGTAACGGCATGGAAAACCTATATTAACGTTTTTATAACCAAAGAAATGCAGTAGGAAAGAAAGAAAAAAAAGGCAAATTATTTTATCTAGTCAAATGAGTTCGGTACTTAATAGCGCGTAAGGAGGAATGTGCATCTTTCTTTGTACGATCGTTCATGAATGATATCATGAACGATAGGTCGACTTTTGAGACTGACCAAAAAACGTTCGATCGTTTTCGAGGCTTCGATGTTCTTTTAATTAAATTTTCTCGCCTCGACGAAAGTCGCCAGTAGTTTCTATCTTTTTTTTTATTTTCAATCGATTTATTCTCGATTGATCTTGACAGATTTATATTTCGCGAAACATCGCGTAAGATCGTTATACCTTCCTCGAGGCATGGAACAACACGTTCTCACGTTGTTAGTCACAACGTGTAAGTCACAACATACCCAATTGTTGATTAGGTATACAAACATACTAAAGAGACGTGCCATTTTTATTGCTTCAATATTTTTTTAAACGGGACACGCAAAAGTTCTATGCGTTTCGCGGCCAAACTGTCCTTCGTTGATAGTGATTTGACATCGAATTGCTCATTTATTTGTCTGAAAGAGCCGTGCGTTGCTCTCAGACCAAAATTTGGCCATAATATATACGTTTAATGATATTAAACATACTCATTACACTGTACTATTTTAATTATATATAAGCACAGAGGCTTGCCGAATTCGTGTACACATACGTAATATTACACAATGCGCATACCCGGCTATCTACGAAAGATAGATTCTTGTTTTCTTATATAAATCTATCCCTGTTCACCGGGGATTTGTTCGTTCATATTATTTTTTGTTAATTTTTGCTTATTGTTTTGCTTGTTTCTTTTTAATTTTAATTCGGTTTTATATATTGTAATTATATTTTAGTCCAAAGAACTATTCGAGTCTTTTTCTATACGATTATAAAGAAGCTATTTTATTCGATTATCTATGTTGACCAACCTACGGTATATATGATCTCTTGTTCGCTGTATGCCAAAGTTTTTCGACACGTTGTAAATCGAGCGTTGAATCTATATTTTGCGAAACTTGATTGTGACGACGTGACTAAGTACAAATCGAAGCTAGTTGACAAGTGTCAAGAAGGGAACAATTTAGCGCAATTGTCGTGAACCAGTCGCAACGTTGACTTACACTACTGATGTCCGATGCTTGTACAATTTCACTTCTATTTAGTTATCCTTATATCTAGGATATCAATGAAGAAAAGAAAACAAAAACGATTTTTGCAAAGAGAAAAGCAGATAGGTGCATAAGTAATTTCGCAATACAGTGTTCGCAAAACATCACAGTAGTGGTAGTCAACGAGTGCGTCAACGGCTTAGTAGCATTCTTTATTATGCGAAGTAAATTTTATTTACGCAGATTGACGATGTTTAAATTATAATTTGCGATCGCATGCGTTCTATATATATATATATATATATATATATATATATATATATATATACACATATATATTTCGTGCTTATTACATTTTACTTCGTACAATTTGCACGTTATATCTTTGTAATTTCGAATCGTCTTTTATCGAAATTGGCAATATTCTTTCAGAAGAACGGGTCAACGTTTGGTTGATGTTCTCCTTTGTTAATTTAATCTTTCTTCTTATGTTCTTATTTATTTTAATTTACTTTATGATTTTAAAGAACGATGAAATTATTTAAAAACGCGAGAAACACATTGAAATGTATACATTACGTGCGTTTACTTATGCTTGCGTATGACGGACGCTTGTGTTTAATTTAATGGGAACGAATGTGCACATTCCTCGGAACCCCCAATACAAATAAGTACAAGATTGCCAATTATTACTTTAGAAAAATTGATATTTCTTTCTTTAATTATTTATAAAAAAAAGAAGTATCTATCTATATATATATATATATAAATATAAATATACAGATACAAATATATAAATATAAATATATTAAAAAATATATATATATATATAAATATTATAATATATCATTACACAATCTTATGTTTGGCTTATGCAAGTTAACAATGTAAGTAAGGAAAAAAAAAAAAGAAAAAAGAAAAAGAAAAAAAGAAATATGTGTGAATAAAGTTTCAAAATGTGAATGCTGTAGAGTTCTTTTCTCAAACAAAAAAGAATCGAAAGGCCGGAAATTTCGATATCGTTACATTCGCTCTTGTTACTTTAGATCGAATCGATAATAGGCGAGTAAGTATACAACGACTAAGTTCAGAACTTCGTGAAAATGCGTGTTGGAAAAGTGATAGATAACTACTCATATTCTTTCGAATTTTAAACGTGTACGATATTGTACAAATAATCCTTGCGATGAAATTAATGCCTGCAAAACACGAAATATTCGAAGGTAGTCGTCATTGTCAAAGAATACTCATTGTGTTAACTGACATGAGGTGACAGAACACTTTGCGTTTGCGTTTAGCGATGTCCATTTATATAAATTATAAAATTTGAAACACGGTGTAATTGGACCACGTGGTTGTCTTTGTGTCATATTAATTGTGCTTTAACGTCTTCACGCTTCTCACCAGTTACCACGTTTCCCTTTTCCATTCTCTTATTTTTTATTTTTCCAACAACAACAGGATCTTATTCATCATACATTACGCATATAACATTAGTGGCAATGCATCGATACGTAAGATCCTAGAATTACATCGAGTCGCAATCGATGTAAGTCACTGTTAGCTAGAAATGAAATGAACAATATATATTTAGAACGAGGCCAACCGTTCGATGTGGGATCCTTGGTTGATGTTCGCGACTCGCAGAGCCGCGTAATCCGGATGAAATGATCGTTACTGATTTCGTTTGCTTGTTTCGCGCGTTTATTAACATCGACGCGATGACGCGGCGATGATGAGAGAATCTGTCTGGCACGTGGGTTGCGCGAGTCGGCTCTGAGAAATGGCGCGAATCAACGGAGGATTCGACGTGGTAAATCGGAAAGGCGGTACATCCAGCACAGGTAGAAGAATGATCTAGTCTGTGTTACGTGTTACTGTCCCTTAAAAATTTGTTTTTGAAATGTAATTGCCTAGAAAAAGCAATGAATGAGGAATCGGCGGGTCACGTGGCTGTTAATGTGTTGCAGGGGGGGTGGGACGCAATCGGAAGCATGTTGGCGATACAACTGGTCAAGTGGTGATGCAGGGTCCAGGGCGTTTTTCGTGCAGACTCTGCGGAAGCGTTTACAAGCACCTTGCTTCGCTGACCCAGCACCTTGAAGTGCATCGCAACCAGACGACCTGCATCCTATGTCACACCACTCTCAGTCGTAGAACCGACCTGCGACGTCACATGCGTCTGAAACATAACATGCAATGGCAAAAAACGATCCAGAAGCAGCGCAGCTCGAAAAACGAATTGGACTCGTAAAATTTTGTTCGAACGCATCGAGAGACATTGCTTCTCGCTCCGCCCTGGTTTCCCTACGTTCTTCTTCTTCTTCTTCTTCTCCTTCATTTTCTTCGTTCGTGTCAAGTAATTTCTTTTATTTCTTTCCAGCCGATATTTTTCTTTTTCTTTCCTTTTTTTTTCTTCTTTTCATTCATTCGTTCATTCATTTTCTCCTTGCATCGGTTGTTCGTCGTCAATGTGTCAACTCGCTTTTCTCGTCCGATAAGAAGTCCATTTTTACTAAATCGTCTACTTAAACGTATCTTATCGTTCATTCACATTGAAATGAACCGTTCGGCTAGCGTGTTTCTCCTGCGCACAGTATTTAACATCGAGCAGGTGCGGGAGTTTCAGAATTTCACGTTGCTTGCATAGTTTCTCTGTAGTTAGAATATTTTATCGTTCGTATGATACTTAGTATTAGCCGTGGTCGTTAATTTAAGTATGAAGCAGAAAATTTGAGGACAGTAACATGGGACTTAATTAATTTTTTATATTTCTTAACCCTAGAAGTCCTAACAGGTAAATATGATAACTTTTGAATTAAAAGTAGTGTCTCCCCTTCGAAAGATTCTCGAAAACTTTGTTTATCGTCGTTTACACATGTTTAAGTCTGATATTCAAATGTCCTCATCATATCGTGTAGAAATTACGTAACATTTCGAAACTTAGGAGTTCTAGAGTTAATCCCGATCTCAGTCTTTCGAAATCCCTGGTATAGTATCTGAAACCTGGAACTGGTACGAGGTTCGTCATTGCAACAAGCCAGGAATACACGTTTTCTTTTCTTTGATGAAAAAAGAAAAAAAGAAAAAAAATGAAAAGTGACGAACTTGTCTTGATTCCCCGGATTATTAAACTCGTATATATTTATCCCTTTACTATACTCGTGATATGCGTTTTAACATTTGCCAGGAGTCATAATAAGCGCGTACGCTTTCGTTTCTCATTGCTACGCTTTCTGTGTAAAGTGATAAGAAATCGAAAGGTATTGATTGCGATGTGTAATGTTATTAACGCGTCTCCACTCTATAAGAATTCTAGTCAATATTCTGTACAGTACTTTAAGTAATTGTTAACATTTTGTTTCTTTCTCTCATCGTATTTTTGCTTATGCAATGCAAACTTCAAATCGACGATATTCCACATGGATCTCTCTGTTACACGTCCGATTATTGACAGATTAGCGTTAAAATCCTCGACAACTGTTGTGTTCGCAGGAAAACATGATAACACAAGTTGCTCGATAAGCGACACTGGTTATCGACAGTGTGCAAATGAATTTGCAGATTTTGCGTGCATTAGTCTGACAGATGATAGAATGTACGAAATACACAAGATATCCATATCATATATCAATAGAAGAGTTACAATATATCGATGCAAGTGACACAAGTGGTGAAAATCAAATGTTGTACGTTGTATTGCTACAACTAAATGTGCTTGTGAGCAACCGACCCGTGTTTTTTATCCACGATGTTACTTGAATCAAGTGATAAACGCGCGATACGATTCGCAAAATCATCTTATACGACAACCTCAGTATTACACTGACTCTGTTTACACGTCTGTTGTCCGCGTGCTGGATTTTTCTTTGCGATAAAGATGAATTTAGCTACTTCGAAGGAGCGCATAGACAGTGCCTTACACACAACAATTATCTAGTTTTACATTTTACATATTAACTTTCCAGATGTTTACCACAGTTGAACGCGTATAAGAGAGTATAAGAGAACTGAAAGTTTTATTCTTTTCGTCTGTGGCTTCGTGTAAACATTGTCTCTGTATAAAATTCACCGGAAACTCTGATCTTCATTCACCAAATAGAAACCGATATGACGAGAATGTAATGTTCGATCGATTGATACGGTTCGCAGATCCGATTGTGTCTCAATCGTTTCTTACTCGTTACTTTCTTTCGCGATTTGCAGAGTCGAGAAGTGTCGCGTTACCGTTCAAAAAAAAGAAAAGCTTCAACCTTAAGTACTGCGTGTCGCTTTTTTACAAATTAATATTTACCGAGTCTAGTAATTAACTTATGTTACTTGGCTATTTTACGCTGTAAGTCTTACGCAAATTCTGCTTAATCCCCGTAAATAGATTGTATCTAATGAAATTCTTAGAAATAGTTACGATTAAATAAAAGATATAATTACTCGATAATATTTTAGAAACGTATACGTTCAAGCTTGGATATAGCGAAGCTATTGTACGTTAGATTTGTAATGCGACACAATGGATCTTCATTAAAATAACGAACGTAAAAAGCTCACTCGTTTCGATTACGTGTGCCCGAATTATGTGAATTATAAAACGTGCTTACTTTTATCTTCGAGTTGTTTAATTCACGAGATGCACAGGCATTCCGTTTCAACTATCGATACCAAATTATAACGTTGAAGAGACTTGGTTATCCGACCATGGAAAGACATTGTTTATGCACGATGAAGCACTTAATCGTAGAATTACGTAGTTTTAAACATAGATGTTCGCTGTTGAGAATCGCACGAAGTTTCAAAGTGAAGTCGAAGTTTTCGAGATACCTCGTAAAACCATCGATCAGAATTAACGCGTTAACTAAATATTAAGTGAAACATGTACTTGATTGCAATGCGTTTTCTTTTTTTTCCTCTCTCTCTTAGATACTAAGTAAGACGTTAGAGTGACAGCGTGAATTTGTACGATATATTTGCACGATAGTTAACGTGTCAACGATAGTTTGCTAAATTGGTTTCGTAACCAGCAATTAATTGTCTTATTCGTCACATCGATTGTATTTAAGCAGTTATCGTATTTTAAAGCACACACGCGAGAAGAAAAATTAAGTACATTTACGAGAACGATGAGTTTGCAGTAACGAATTCCGTTTTGTGGGTCAATAGGTTTCGCGAAAAAAAAAAAAAAAAAACGATACGTACATGTACGAAATTTTTATTTGATAAACGCATGGTTTAACGCACCATGTACCTAGACGAATAAATAAAAACTGATTATTATAGATAACATGGTCAAATAATTGCGTCGGTAGTCAGCAAAGCTTTTCGTTTCAATTTAAACATGTGTTACGTATATGTATTAATTGTGAGCTTGTAAGTGAGTTAAAAATGACATAAAAGTATGCTTAAAAATGTTATTACAGCAATGTAAATAAATCGATTTACAATGGAAGTTTTAGTGTTGATATTTTTGAGGGAAGTGAATATGAAAATTACGATCGAGTCACAAAACTTGCGAACATCGATGCATTTCTCTTACGGGCTAAATATAAATGTGAAATCTTAGATACATTTTAACAACATTCAACTAGATTTGTGGTATTTATTTACAAGAAAGTAAACATATAAATGTGAATATTACAATTATCTTCTTTTAAATGTATTCTTGATACGGCTCTGTTCTGCTTGTGGTGTGTGAACATACTCTTTCTTTTTTTGCCTCTTTTATTTTTTTCTTTTCTTTTTTTTCTTTTTTTTTTTTTTAGTATAATGCGAAAGTGGGCATCTTGCAAGTTTCATAGACAATACGCATTGCGGTAAAAACTGACGAGTATATTATTTCGGTTATCGTGAAGAGAAAAATTTCTGAGATTCTTGGAAACCTTGAAAATATATTCGACAAGGGAATAAATAATTAAAAATAATTAAAAATTCTTGATGAAATATTCTTGTATATTTGATACTTGATCAAGAATCTCGGGACATCGTTGTGATATTTTACATTCTCGATTATTTTGCTACTTTACATGTGATTCAAAGTATCACGCGTATAGGGAACAAATTTATTGAAATTATCCGTGTCATTATTCGCAAACTAATTATGAAAGAATTAGAAACCAGTCTTGATCAAATATTTATTGCGATGCAGTATTATTGCAGCGTTAGTTATAGGAAGATATAAATTTATAGAGGCACACACAAGGATACCGGCATGGAGTTTGCATTCGCCAGGATCATTCTGTGATAAATGCGGTGTTACATTTACAACGCAGCACGCTCTTCTACGGCATGTTACATCAAAACACGAAGAGTCGCCGAGTTCTACCGCGTACTGCAATATTTGTCAACGATTTTTTAAAACAAAATGGAGTCTGGCAACTCATAACAGCAAATATCATAGAAACTGTTAACGAAATGATACGAACTCGAGTTTCGTAATTTTGTAAAAATTTACTCAAATTCGGATCGGGTCTCGCTTCAATGGGGATTGCGCAAATATAGGAAAATTTTACTAACGTTGTAAACATTGAACGCGAATATTTTGCATAATTAGACGTAACTGAAAGACAATTACCGGTTACTGGTTAAGTAAGTACTAGGTTTCTATAACTAAATTACTTTTATTAATATTTATTTCAATTCTAAATGTAATTGTTCAATCAATAGACAATTATATATCCTTGCAAATACAGCGCGGCGAATGTAACATTGGAAAGCATTCTATTATATTTATGATTGATTTCGTACAATCTGTAATATTCACACACACACGCATACACGCATACATTCCAAAATAAGGAATGTCATAATTACAAGCCCCCCCTTAATGCGAGTACCAAGTGCAATACTGATCCACCTTGAACTTTATAATCTTGCGCCGTTTTCTCGTCATTCCTAAAAGATAACAAAAAAAAAATCTTCATTTTTAAAATTTCTTACACCTTTTAAAAATATATACACACAGTCATCAATTAAAAACATACACATACACACACGTATACTATGAACATTGATTAATATAATTCTGATTTTTATATAAATATAAGATATATTTGACAAAGGGAAAGTAAGAAGAAATGATGTTAAAATATCATAATTGATGGAACAGGAACAAGAAAACCAGGACAACAATACGACACAGATTCAGTAAGGACTCTAGAAAGTCACTTTCCAGAGTATGTTCCATCAACACCAAAGAAGATGAATGCTACAAGAAGATGCAAAGTTTGCGCATCTAAGGGAATGCGGAAGGAATCTCGTTACTATTGCGCTTATTGTAATGTAGGGTTATGTGTTACACCGTGCTTCAAGCAATTTCATACTAAAAGTAATATCGAATGAGACGTTAAAATATAATTCTATCTCTAGCAAAAATTATTTTGTACAATTGTATAAATTATTTCTATATTGTGATACCTACATTTGCTTCCCAGAAAATATCAATCTCTGTTGCTGCGGTGGTATTCCTTCCTTCTCTTCCACTCTTTCCTTAATCCTTTCTACTTTATCTGTAGGTTCTATATCTATTTCAATCTATGAGAATAATGATATCTATGATTGTTTTTAAATTTACTTATCATATGTATTAACGATGTATTTGTATATATAACAATAATAAATATGAAAAAATATATCTATTATTTGAAACAAACTCTGATTAATGATAATACATTATTAACGGTACAATAATCTGTCAAATTTTTGCATTTTTAAACAAGACAATGTGATTTTATTAAAATAGATTATTTTGCTTATGTAACTGTTCTTTTTCTTAAATATATACTGACAAACGTTATTTTACATGTAAAATGGTCAAATTGCATTAAAAATACATAAAATTATTTTGCAGTTACTTGCCTCCTTTCCGGTAAGAGTCTGAAACAAGGTTAGAATATATTTTCAGAACTGGTTATAAATGTCATAGCTCCATCTCCGCCGGTCAATGTTCTTACCTTCACTTTGATCAACATTGTTTATGTGTTAAAAGACAATTTAAATAATCACTGTATGATTACAAATTAAAAACTATTGACAAAAAGATGCACGAATGCGGTTCTTTGAACTTTGGATAAAAAAATTCTACACTACACCAATGAAAAATCTCTATACCTCCATCTAACGGCAATTCATGAACATGCATATCGATAGTTCCCAAATCATTGTGTATATTTTCTATATATTTATAGCTATATATAGCTATACAGCTAACTTTGTTTATTTATAATTATCTAATATTTAGATTTAATTAAAAGTAAAGACATTTACGACTGGATAAGCAGAGCATTCCTAAATTTAATTTACTTGCAATTTTAATACAAGTTCATTAGCTATTATGACATGATCACTAACCAAGAATAGAATAGATATGACATTAAATGAGATTTCATGAGACTTGAGTTCTTAACTGATGGAGATCAGAGTATTTTTTATGATATTTATGATTTATTATGACTGACGTAGGAATTATATTGAACGAATTATATTGAATCGAAAGTCAATAACTATGAAAAGATCTTTATTTATTGAATATGATTTAGTCACTAATAATAAGGAAACTATGTAATTTATGATTAAGCATCAGGCTATTGTGCTTCTTGTCTACGGCATGTACATATTTTTTCTTGTATTACATGCATATGACCGAAGCAGATACCATTTATTGGTTTCTGCATTTTTGAACTTTTAGTTCTAATTGGAATTGAGAAATGTGTAGGTGATAACATCATCCGTAGACAAGGACAGAGATAACGATTAGTTTGACCGTTTCACCGCTACGTGGCGATAGTGCTTGAGTGTCCACAAAGATAAGGTATATGAACCTCATGTATCTTGTTTGTAGTGTTCATAAATCAACCAAATACATTCCTGAGAACAAATAAAATTTTTTGAATAGCGTTAATACTTCTTGCTTACTGACAGTTGGAGTTACCATGTCCAAATCAAAGTACTTTACACTAATTTGTAAAAAAAATTAATAAAGAGGAATAATTTGTGAACTTTTGAAATTGCATCATACGTTTAAGACTCCATTGTATATTTTATTTACGTTTCAAAGTGTAATAATCAAGATTTTCAAATTCCGTCATTACTAAATAGTTCAGACATCAGACCAAGTAGACCAAAGACCAACAGACGAGTAGACCAAATGTGAAACATATTTTTTCATGGGATTCTAGGACCTTATTACCATTTTCGTGACACATCTTGTCATATCGATTTAGGTAAGTTTTACAAAAGTACTATTTTCGCAGCGCTACTAATAACTTGAATAAAATAAAAAAGTATGGACAGTGTTACTACTTGTCCTGCTTTGAGAATTATTTATTGAATTGAATATACAATACATCATCAATAAAAGAATATAACGATATATATTTGATTATTTACGATTATTTAAAGGTATTAAAAAAAATTGATTGAAATGTATTTTTAGTTTATTTTATTTAAATGTTTTAATTAATGTTTTTACAAGTATTTTTATTTTTATCCCGAGTTAACCTTTTGTGTGAAATGCGCGCGAATTGAAGTTAAATTAATTGAAGATTACAGCGCCAACGGTGGAATACGCAACATACTTCCTACGATTCTCGAAAATATCGATATTTCTCATGATCGAGTTTTAAGCGGCAAACATGGCGGAAGGAAGCACACCTAGTCTATAAAGAGGAAAGTGTTGTCCAGAAAGTGTTGCCCAGAAAAATCATTCAGAAAGAAGTATCGTCTAGAAGTTCTCAGGTAAAAATTTAAATCAATAGTTGTTAGATTTGTGTTTGAGTTGTGTATTTTTATGATAAAACGTGCATTTTTGGCTTCAATTCAAGGTAAGATTTAACCAAATAATCGTTACATGTAATTTTCAACAATTAAAGAAATAATAGCAAATAAACATTTAAATAGAACATACCGTGCTAAAAGTTATTTATAATTTTATATCAAAATTTAATTTCAATTCTAATCAGTACAGATATTATAACCTTGTAATCTGACTAATTTATGATTATATATAATGCTTTTATTTCTATTGTAACATTTTTTACTCATTTGTTAATTTTTTAACTTCATATATTGCGTAGTTCTTAACAATATCGAATTCCACAATAATTTATTAAGAATATACGTATTTAATGGCTAAAATAATAATTTTACTGCATAATATAATAAAATTTCTTAGTTCAAGGTATTGACAATTTTTCATCTAGTGTATGAATATTTTCGTTCCTTTTTAAAAATTTTTCATGAATTTTGTGTATTACTGACCGGAATTTTTTATTTTTTATTTCTAGTTAACATTTCATGCAAAACGCGCGATTACAGCGCCATTGGTGATATATGGAAACACTCTTACGATTCTCGAAAATATCGATATTTTTCATGATCGAGTTTTAAGCGGCAAACATGGCGGAAGGAAGCACACCTAGTCTGTAAAGTGTTGTCCAGAAAAATCATTCAGAAAGAAGTATCGTCTAGAAGTTCTCAGATAAAAAGTTACATCAATAGTTGTTAGATTTGTGTTTGCGTTGTGTATTTTTATAATAAATAAATGCATCAACACTGTGCATTTTTGGCTTCAACTCAAGGTAAGATTTAACCAAATAATCGTTACATGCAATTTTCAACAATTAAAAAAATAATGGTATATAAACATTTAAACAGCATATATCATGCTAAAAGTTATGTATAATTTTATACCAAAATTTAATTTCGATTCTAACCAGTTAGATATTGTAACCTTGTAATTGACTAACTCATTATATATATACACGTATTTCATCATATATTTTTACACATATACTTCTTACAACATTTTCTACTTTTTTATTGATTCTTTAACTTCATACTGCGTAATTTTTAATAATTCTAATACTAAATTCAATAATAATTTAAGAATGTACGTCTTTGATAGTTGAAATAACAATTTTACTGTGTAATACAATAAAATTTTTCATTTCTTAAGTAAGTAAGGCTTGAAATTCGTAGTTCAAAAAACATAAACACATGCTACGTGTTTGTGTAAGGCTCTTAACATCGCACCTGTTTTTTCAGCGTTGCAAATAAACATTTTCGATTAAACATTGTCGAAACGTGCCTGTTCGTTCAAGATCACCCCATCCCCTACTATTTTCTCAATTGCTAGACGAGACGTGTCGCGAAGAGTCATTCGGCCACCGAATTTCGTGACAACAACACGCATTACGTCGCATTAGGTTTGTAATCTTTTCTAACCTATCGGTAGCGTTTCTTCTATAGCGTCGCTTCTTCGACACTCTTTCACTTCCATTTATACCTCATTAATAGTATATTTAAATAATACATTTGTGTTTAACGATTAATCGAGCATTACGGTAACGAATTCGTGTATTGCTAATTCGGTCGTCGATTTCACTCGTACGGTTACCGGTAGCTTGTCTCGTACATTTCTGTAGTAGAATTAGAAGTTGATTATCGTTTCATTTTTACACATTTGCTTTCGTTTCACACATTTGTTCTAATTTTTGTTTTTTTTTGCAGATTATTTCTTGATTCCAAAGATAGGACACATAGACGCTACGATTATTAATGGACAATGTGATATTCTTTGACAGAAATTTGGTAACATTTCATTTATTTTAGATATAAACAAACGATTGATGTGTAATTAAACGATTCGAAGCAAAATTTTACACGCGTTTTTTGTAAATATTATTTCTTAAGTACATTTGGCTGTGAAATTTTGACTTGTGAAACATTTTCGAATATTTATAACACTTGACGTGATATATTATTAATATATATTCCTACTCTAATAACAAGCATTCAGAATACAATACTTGTTTTCCATTTACAGTATTCAGCATTGAGAAATACTTTATAATTTACAACTAATATCTTTAATAAATATTCAAGTTTCTTTACAATCATGTTCTAGAAAAATAGCAGTATTTTCTAAATAAACGTATTCTTCTCCCTCCTCCAACTAACCAGCTTTATTTTCAGAAAATTTTAATGATCGCGCGCAATGCGGTCGATAGAATCAGTGTTTGTTGCGCAGTATTTTAACATTTTTCTGAGTAAAATAACTCGTGTTAAATTAAATTATTAATTCATTTGAATTATAATTCGCGAAGTTAGAGTCAGTGAGTTCGATTGTTACTTAAACACGCGCGTTGATAGTCTTTTATTTTTCTTTTTTCATATTTTTTCTTGTTCAATATTCGTTTTCGGTATTAGAGTCAGTGCCCAAGAGGATAAGGCCTCTCCAGGAAATCAAGATCGTAAGTAGTTGTATATATTGTATCTCAATTTATTCAATTTTTTAAATTTAACAACAAAGTATAATGTTTGATGTTTGTTACAGACGCTTTACAGCATCAACTTTTTGTATTTTTTGGGGAAAATCCAAGATGGCTCTAAAGCCAAGAATGTAAGAATCTTTCATTATCTCCAACTTAAGATTTTACTTTGCTTTTAAATAAAAATTCTAATGTTTAATGTTTTGTTATAGATCTTCTACAGTCTCCACTTCCCCTAATCCTCCAAGAATCTTACGATGCTTCAAAAGTTAAAAATGTAAATATTTTAGCATACTGTATTTAAATTCTTTTCATTTTTTGTAGTTCTTTCTGTATTGAAGTCGAATGTAAAATTATAATTATAAAATAAAAATATTTCAAATTATTAGTCTCAATTTTTATCATTATTAAAATTTAAATTTTCACAAGTAACACTGTGTATTTAGAAACGAAATGTTTTATGTTTTTTAAGAAATTTTTTGCGGTGTTTACTTCTGCCATGGGATTCTCAGTAGTATCTTGGTGAGAGTCTTCACGATAACTTTCCTTGCTCCAGCATCGATGATAACGTTCTTCACATCTATCCCGTGAGTCGCATGCATTTATGTTCCTCCGGTCACTCAATCATGTCGTAGGATGAAAGGTCCGAATCGGCACGGGTGACTGGTTGTATACGTAGAATTTTTTATGAGCATAGTGACCGCGGGTATTTTTTATACTCGTGAGTAGTAACATTTTTTTCAGGTTTTTTATGTATTAGATCAGGATAGAGCTTCTTGCACATCGCGATTTTAACAATTAAATTTGTAGTAATTACTTATAAAATCAAAATATCTTCAATATAAATATTTGCAAAGATAAAATATGCAATTTATTTATATGAATAGATAAATTATAAATACTTATAAATAATCATTATTAAAATGATTTCGGTTTGAGCATTCCATGGTAGAGAAGACGGATACCCTCCGACTTCGTTGCTATGAAAGATGCATTTATTACTTATATTGATGATATATTTTGTTATAATAATTAATAATTAATAATTTTCAATTTCATCTTTCCTTTTATAATAGTATTAAAAATAATTAAATATAATTATGAACTTCAGTAAAATTTGAAATATAATAATAAGATTAGAATTTTTTCCGCAGAAAAATAAATATATGAAATTTTATGTGCAAGAAGATACTTCGCGACAGGTAGATTTTTGAATCAAAGTAACAAGTTTGATCACTGCTCTTGCATTTTCGAAAATGTACTTTGATGAAAAAGTCGCCTGAGATTATTTCTATTAATATTTAATTTGGAATCAATTGTTTGATTTTGATTGTTTGAGGCAATTGTTAAATTGTTCGTAATATCTTTCTTAACAAATTCAAGTCTTGTTCATTGTTTTTATTCTCTTGTAATTTCAATGATTTCTCAAAGAGTAGAGTCATTACAATTTGAAATAAAATAATGCAATAGTCCGATAGATATAAATTATATGAACTAATTATTTTTTTAGTTCAGGATTTTCAGGTTTAACCTCTTCCGTGTTCATTGTCAGGATCTCACTCACGTGCCCAGGTGTTACTTGGGTGGGTGAAAGACATTGGGCACGATGACCATAGTTTGTAATTTTATAAAAAATGTCTCAGCGACTGACAGTAAGTTAGCGTATCGTGCACGACGTATTTTCCGCATGTGTGTGTGTGGTTAGGATGTGGAATTGCGTCGTTTTTATTGTTCCATTCATTATAAGTTGAAATATATAAAATATTTATGCGTTATTTTAAAGAATTATGAATTTATTATCATAATGCCTAATAAATACATTATAATTACGTTATTATTATTATAATCAATTATAATAAATTATTATTATGCAATCAATTATAATAATGATCCCAAGTCTTGCACGCGTAATTTCTATAGAAATTACATGTATTTTTTCTCAGTATTAATATTAGCTGTAAATATAAACGTGTTTTAATCACGTTTCACGCAATGATCG